TACCAGTATAAGTGTGCAATACGACACCTAGTTTTCTCATCTGTAAAACGGCAGTAATAGAACATGCATAGGTTTTTTGAAGATAAAACAAATGATGATTCATGCAAAACACTTGAAACTTACATGTAGAACACAGAGAAGGGTAACCAAGATAGCTGGTTTATACATAAGAGAAAATCAACATCAAACAAGAATACAGACAAGAACACGTAACAACTGTACTGAGAACCACAGCAATTCCTCTCAAATACCTGCCAACCAGTAATATCCTATCAGAAAGGAACTTTCTACTTCTTGTTCAACCACCCCAACTCACAAAAATAAATCAACCATCCTACGGATAAATTACATATCAACACTGCCAACACAGAAATAATATTTAGTGTTACCTTGAGTCAACTATGGTCCTGTTACCTTAATGTAATCAGTGAACTCTTACATAAAGCAACATTTAAGAATAAGAATTTTACTGTGGAATGGGTTTCATGATTTTTTTTACATTTAAACTCACAATGTTCTTTCATAACACTAACAGACTAATAGGTATGGACAGAATGCTGAAATATAATTATCATTTCACGTAGTTCTTTTAGGAATAAAATACTAAAACATCAAGTAGCTCTTTGTTCATTAGTAGCCAACTAGTTAGACTATGATTCAGTTCAACTTCATTCAACACTGACCATGTGTAAAGTAAACTATCTAACAATTACTGAGGACTTCTATGTGCCCATCACTGTCTAAAGATCTAACAACATGAGCCTTTAATTCCACATCAATGACTCTATAATCCCATTTGCAGTAAGGCATGCACAAGGAGGTTAAGTAATTTCCCCAAGGTACAATTACCAAGGAAAAGCCAGGATCAAACCCAGAAAGGCAATGCCAAAACCTGTGCTCGTCACCACTTAACTTTATTTGGTTATTTAAAAAAAATGCCTCAGTATAAAATCCAGCAGAGAAGACATATATAATAAATCACTCCAAAACAAAAAGATGAAATACACACTATAATGGAGGCACAGAGCAGTAGGAAAAGACAGAACGGTGAGACACAGATCCAAGAAGACCTCTGGGAGAGAAGAGATTTGGCCTGAGCCATACGAGGGGACCAGATACTGGCGAGTGCACTCATTCCCTGTGGAGGACCAGGCTGAACGACAGCCTCGAGGAGAGGCATGACGTGCTTGTACCTGTGAAACTCTAGCGGTCCCTCGAGTGGCTGTGGCACGGGTACACATGGGGAGGAAGAGAAGCGGGAAGCTGGGCTAGAACATGAGGCAGGAAGCCAAGCACGGAGGCTGTGACGTGAGGTTGATGAAGGGACCTTTCCTGGACACATCTGGCCAAAGACGCCTGGTACAGGCCAACTGTCTGGATCTAAATGATTTTAAGGTTGAATGTCACTACACCTCTGTTATATGTTGAATTAGAAGAGGAACCAATCTGAATCACACTTTATCGCCAGAGGTACTATTTTAAAAACTGACTTTCAGCAAATGCTTTATGATTCAAATATTATGTAACAATGAATATTATCATGATGCCTTATTCAACGTAACTTATCAATACAAACCTTGAACCAAAAGCTACCGTCCACTGTCCATCTCTTGAAGATGCCGAATAGATGCATTTTCAACAGAGAATAACTCTCCAATGGGTACCTCTTTTCCACCCAACCTTCAAATGGAGATTTATAAGGCTCATAACACCGTCAGGAACAAATGCAGTCCAGATCTGAAATTCTGAGACAAACATTAACACACTTCAGGCAGCACAGAAGGTCCACGATTTTCACAAAACTACGAGCATTCGGGCGGAAATAAGTTGTTTAAAAGTACTAAAGAAGAGACTCATGACAGAAAAAGCCATTTTCTCCAAGCAGCCTTCCATAATCTCCCATGTAGAGCTAAAGGACCTCCTTCCCTCGTGCTTACACAGTGATTTGAATTGGACAATACACACCTTTCACAATTGTGTCATCAGTCTCCCCCTAATTATGAGATCTTGGGTGCAGAAATTATTCTCAACCCTCTCATATGCCAGGCTAGCACATCACAATATAACCACCACCATTACAGCAATGCCACTTCCTTGTTTAAAAAAACAGTCATCACAGAGATCACTGTCCCACTTTCACAAGACTAAGTTCAGAGAGGTGAACAACTTACCAATCCCTAGAGCTAGTAAGGGGGGGAAGCATTAAATACAGGCCTTTTGACTTGTAAACCCAAGTAGAACTGAGTGCAGTCCCAGCCTTACCATTCACTAGCTCTGTGACACTGTGCAAGGTACTTAACCTCTTAGGCCTCAGATTCCTTATCCACAAAATGGAGATAGTAACATCTACCAACCCAGGGCTTCTCAAAGAATCAAGTGAAGAAAGATGATAGGACTGGCACACTAAGTGGCGGTGTTAATTATTATTACTATACAAACTATGCCAATATATTATTACTATACCATGAGGCCTCCTCTGGCACACAGAAAGGAATCCATTATTCAATCAGTTTTTACAGCATCCACTCTATGCCAGGTACCTTGCCAGGTGCTAGGACACAATGCGGATGGAGGGTAACAATAACAGACTGGTGATGGATGAAACAGAGGTGAGTGTGACGGATAAAGGTGCCAGGGAGGATTTCCAAGTTTCTGGCTTGAGAAAGTGCTGGATGGTGGCACTTCCACTGAGAAGGAACCTGGAGAACCCTCCAGCAGGACTAATGACAGGGGGTCAGCTGTGAATTACATGAGTGTGAGAAATCCAACTCAAGTCATCACAGAGAAATTGACAGAGGGTGTTAAGCTCAGAAGGGTGATCTGAGGTGCAGACGGAGATTTGAGGGTCTAAACAAACCGAAGCTGGGATGTGGATGAAATCATCAGGAGACAGAGAAGAGAATGAGAAAAGAAGGGCCGACGGAAAACTTAAAGAGCTCCAACTTCAAAGGCTAGAGAGCAGAGAATGGACATTCAAAGAAGAAATGGAACTAATGACCAGAAGACGGTGGGGGAGACAAGAGAGGATGACGTCACAGGAGCTAAAGATGCTTTGAGGTGGTCCCACGGGACCAAGGAATCAAGAAAATACATTTGAAAGTATCCGTGAGGTTATGATGAAGGTGTCACGACAACTGTAACGTTACAACAATGATAAAAGCCAGATTAGAATGGAATTGAGGTGTCTGCTTAAAGAGAAGGAAATAGGGTGCTAGAAGGGAACATGACATTGAGAGAGGGTTCTTTCAAAATGAGGACCTTAGATTTGTTTAAGTGCTTATGAAAAGAGTTCAGGAGAAAAGGAGAGGCTGAAAACACAAGAAAGATGGAAGCGATCAAGAGTAAACTCCCGAAGAAAATGGAAGAGGACGCAATGCCCTACTCTACTGCAAATACAAAGGGCAGACAGGGAGGATGTGGGTGAGAGCACAGGGAGCCCGCACTCCGGACAACTTGAAACTGAGGCTCTCCACTGATGGCCACTATTCCCCTGTGAACCAGAGGAGCCAGCCCACCCTGCAAAACAGTGGCTCACATCTCTTTCCAACTCAGAGCCTCATGTTGGCAGCCATGGAGACTTGGTAAACTACAGATGAAGGCTTCTTCCCCCCTGGATAGCCAGTCTTAACATTGACCAGCACACTGCTGATGTAGGGAAAGTGGGAAGAGGTTTTTTATTAAACTCTAAGCTACCAACAACATGTACTAATTGGAAATTCTAATACTAATTTATTATTAAATTTATTATTATTTTAGGCTAGTCAAGGAAGCAGTGGAGTGGAAAAGGAACAAAGGAATCTGTAACTGGTTGTGATCAATTTGTAAACACCACTGCCCTTGGACCACAAATACCTTATTTATTTACTGAGACAGAGCCTGCTCAAAGCAACCTCAAACTCCTGGGCTCAAGTGATCCTCCTGCTTAGCCTCCTGAGTAGCTGAGACTACAGGCACGGGCATGACACCCAGCTAATTTTTCTATTTTTAGTGGAGATGGGTCTCACTCTTGCTCAGGCTGGTCTCGAACTCCTGTGCTCAAGCAATCTCCTGCCTCAGTTTCCCGGAGTGCTAGGATACAGGCATGCCACCATGCCTGGCCAAATACCTAATTTATTAAAGATGATTTCCAAAAATTTAAAACTATCAAATATTGAATTACTTAAAATCTTTGCATCTAAAAGATAAAATAACAGTAAGCTTTCCCTTTCTTATGCTATTTTTAGCTTCAAAATCCAAAAAACAAAAACATGTTATATAATGGTACATGGAGGATCATTATGCTTCTTGTGTATCTTTGAGCTATACAACACTATTTTTATCTTCTTTATAAACACACACAGTTTTGAAAGCTATATGAAAAACATAAAACTTGGAAAAAAGCTACTTGACATGTTCCAAAAAAATTAATTCATAGGTAAGTTAAGAACAGTGTTATCCTCAAAATCAAAAACTTTAGGGTCTATCTCTAAACTCATCGAGTTGTATACATTAAAACGTACAGCTTTTTACATGTCCATCGTAGCTCAATAAAGTGGTTTTAAATAAACCAAAAACTTTAGGGCCTGTCACAAGAGTAATTCTATTTTGTGTGTAACATACTGCCTTGTTAAATTTTAATTGCATGTGAATTTTAATTGCATGTCAAATTTTACAGCCAAAAAAGAAATGAGAAATAAAGTGTTTGTGCTGATGATCGCCCCTCCCCCAGAAAGAAGAGGAACAGGGGCTGTGTGTTCTCCACAACCACATTCTTACTTATGCTAGACTCTGCACTAAAATTTCTTTTAAAGTTTATCAAATTTTAGTAAGTAGTGAAATATGCAAAAAAAATATTAGCAAGGGAATATAATTTATAACATCTTTCTGAAGATACATCAAGCATCTTGTCTTAGCTATCACTAGTAGACATTTATTAAATTCAACAAATACAGAATGTCTGTCTTACGTTAAATTTTGAATATATCATATATGTCAAGACATAGAAAATCTATCATACTTACTTTTCCAAAACGGCATTTGCTGCACAGTCACGTCCAAGATTTTCTATGAAGGTCTGTACATCCTGAATGAGTCTTTCCATAAAAAAAAAAAAATTTGATAAAGAACAATGGGTTTTAAATAGGAAATAAAGCCTTCAGGCTAAAGTTAACTAATAATTTATATTCTTCCAATTGAAAGCCTCAAAACAGAGACACAATTCTACTTGAGTAGGTATTTAATATAACTTATGGCCAGTTGAAATAATAGCATCTTTTACCTTTGATCACGCCTAAACACAGTTCCAAATATACAAGCCTCAAGGATAAGTTCGCTATAATTTTTAGCACTTGATAAAGACCCTTGGGACACATTTGAAGCAGACACTATCCAAGATTGGCAGCAGTAACTTATCAGTGTATTGAAGACTCCACTTTTTACAGCAGACATTTCAATTATCTTGTACATAATCTGTAATGAAACACAATGGTCATTTAATCCTTTAACCAATTTAGTTTAAAGAAAATTAGTGTTGCTTAATTGTTACTTGAATTGTTTTAAATCACAGTTTCAACTCCATGAATAGTCTGAAAGATTTAAAATTCATTATTGTTAGAATAATTCTGCAAGATGATCAACAAGCACAGAATGCTAATTTTTCATCTTTTAATAAAAATAAATCTAATTTTAGCAATAGTGATAATTCATCTGGAAATATTCAAGACAAACAACTGTCCAAAGTAGTAGAAGGAAAGAGAAGAAAAAACACCTCACCCTGCATATTTTCAGTTTCCTTTGCATTTCGCCAGTGGGCCTCCCTTTGCCTGAGGCAGCAAAGACCACGGTCTCTGAGTATGTACTGTAGGCAAAAAAGGACCGAGAGAGGCAGCACAGGGCAGCAGGGTAACAAAAGGACCTGACTCTTTGTCTTCCCCTTTGGATCAGGAGATACACTTGGATTCCTAGGCATGATGGAATTCCATCTTGTTATGTTCCCTACTGTATCAGCAGTTGCAAATGCAAATTACCTCCAGACACCAGCAAGACCTTTTGATACAGGTTATATTCAGAGAAATCTCTCTCTACGTAAGAGACAAACCCTGCCTAAGTGCGAGGACAAATGGCACCTGACACCTGCCTTCATATCCAGGACAAACCAGACTGACTGTGGAGAAAGAGCACGCCAGCTCCTACTTGGCGCCATGCACTCGATTATATATCATCACGTAGGAATGGCTGGTGTTGCCAGATTGTCTGATTTTCCAAGAGAAGGGGACCCACATCTTCATACAGATTTCCCAATTCTTAAAAGCCACTCACTAATTCAAAATTTTAATTATATGAACCAAAGTACGTTTGTGAGGCAGATGTGGCTCTTGGGCCACCACTGTGCACCTCTTCTTCTACATCTATCAGGTGTTCTCGCTCTTACTCAAAACATCTAAGGCGGCTCAAAAATACGTGTTGACTGGATGAATAAAGAATGACAAATCTAATACCTAGTTACAAGCATAACTCCCATCTTCCTCATGGGCTACAGGTCACACAAAGTAAAAAGAAAAGAAGGTTACCTCTTTTATTTTGAAATATGCCTGGCCCTTGATTTTTGCAGCAATGGTGAGAACTCTGTTATCAAAAACAAACTGAACAAAAGCTTTTAAATTAGGCCAGAATATCAGCTGAGTGTTGCTTAAAGATGATATAATTTTCCAAGCCATGTCAAAAGACTCTATGCAGAGTGATTCAGAGGAGTTCAAAAGCTGGTAGGGAAAAAAAAATACATACATACTTATTTTCAGAAATTTTGATTGCTGCTCCTATAGATATTCTTCATGTTTCACTATATCTTACCTTGGGAACCAAAATTTTCATGCAATGGAACACTGGCAGAACTTGATCAGAAGGGAGAATTGTAAGGGCTTCTAGTGCAGACTGCAAAGTTCTTACTGGCATTTGAACAGCAGGCAGAAAGGGTTCCAGAATTTCACTCTCTGTGGCTGGTATCAGGGTGTGGTATTTTTTCAACAGGAAGGAGAGGCACACCCACTGATCATGGATATACTGTGCAACTATTTTCCCCCATCCTTGGGAAGATGATGATTCTTCAAAAAACCTGAAATACAAAATAAAGTCACTACACCATACTTCTCCAAATTTGTCTCCATTTCTTTTACACTAAATGTACTACATGTAAACAGATATAAACAGTCTTTACCGAATATCCTATCCACCAAAAAATTAGGAAATTTCATAAACCTCAATTTTCTAACTACCCTGGAAGTAGGCACTTTGTCTCACCTTAAAAGATTCACTTGAAAACTAAATGCAGAAAAGTTAGCAGATAATAAAGACAATAACAGAGATGAATAATATGACAATACATTTTCATCCTGAACAGAGTCTCATCTCCAAAATTCTGTAATTCTGGATCAACGTTGGGCAATCACCAATCAATGACAACAATAGAATGGATTTTTAAACCTGAGTCTTTCCTATAACTGCCATACTCCGCGGGGTGAGCGTACCTGCTCTGCTCCTCTATCTGAGGCTTCTGCAGCGTCTGATTGAGCTGGAGAGAGGAAAGGAACTTCTCCATGGGGCCGGCGTTGAGAGAATCCAGCTGTAGTTCAGGCTTCTGGTCAATGGCCTCACACACCATGGCCAAGGCAGCCATGCTGACCACTCTCTGAATCTGACTCCCCAGAGTTGGCTCCTGTGGAGGAAAAACAACAATCTTTTATTTAACATAAGCAGTATTAATCAGCAAGGACCTAAGCTGCCAGTCTATGGGAAGCTCAGGCCCCCAGTCTCCCTCTTCCTGCCTGCTCCTGAACGTCGGGAGAAATAAAAGGAAATCCAACACACACCGTTCAGTTTTGCTACTGCTCTACAGACCGGCTTCTCTGCAGTGCACAAATTTCAAATGGCAATAAGAACTCAGCAATTCAGATTAAGACAATTTGATCTCTCCATTTGGCAGGTGGGTTCCTAAAACCAGGACATGACATACTAGTTATATATAAAACCCGAAGGTATATGTGGATAAGCACCTCTCAACCTGTTTCCTTTTCACATACACTTATACAGAGTTTCTATGGGTGGGTCTTACTTTAATTGTATGCTGAAACACGTTTTTTAAAAAACAGAAAGGTAGGTCTGGGTATGGTGGCTCATGCCTATAATCCCAGCCCTTTCGGAGGCTGAGGCAGAGGATCGCTTGAGGCCAGAGTTTGAGAACAGCCTGCGCAACACAGCAAGACCCTGTCTCTACAAAAAAAGATTTAAAAATTAGCTGGGCATGGTGGTGTGCACTTGTAGTCCCAGCTACCTGGGAAGCTGAGGTAGGAAGCCCAGAAGTTCGAGACTGCAATGAGCTATGACTGAGTCACTCTACTCCAGCTAGGGTGACAAAGCAAGACCCTGTCTCTTAAAAAAAACAAAAACAAAAAAGGCTCCAGGTTACAAATAATTCCTTCAATCAGCTACATATCCTTTTGGAGAGATCATGTAACCTCACTTTAAGAGCTGTACCCAGAAACCACATAGCCTAAGTCTGAATCCTGGCCCTGCACTATTACCAGTATAAGTGTGCAATACGACACCTTAGTTTTCTCATCTGTAAAACGGGGCAGTAATAGAATCATGCATAGGGTTATTTTGAAGATAAAACAAATGAGTGATTTCATGCAAAACACTTGAAACTTTACATGTAGGAACACAGAGAAGGGTAACCAAGATAGCTGGGTTTATACATAAAGAGAAAATCAACAATCCAAACTAGGAATACAGACAAGAACCACAGTAAACAACTGTACTGAGAAACCACAGCAATTCTCTCAAATACTGCCAACCAGTAATATCTCTATCAGAAAGGAACTTTCTACTTCTTGTTCCACACACCCCAACTCCACAAAAATAAATCAACCATCTCTACGGATAAATTTTACATATCAACACTGCCAACATAGGAAATAATATTTAGTGTTACCTTTGAGTCAACTATGGTCCCTGTTAACCTTAATGTAATTCAGTGAACTTTAACTAAAGCAAGCCAAATTTAAGAATAAGAATTACTGTGGAATGGTTCATGATTTTTTTTTTTACATTTAAAACTCACAATGTTCTTTCATAACACTAACAGACTAATAGGTACTGGACAGAATGCTGAAATATTAATTATCATTTCACGATAGTTTCCTTTTAGGATATAAAAATTACTAAAACAATCAAGTAGCTTCTTTGTTTTCATTAGTAGCCCAAACTAGTTAGACTATGATTCAGTTCAACTTCATTCAACACTGACCATGTGTTAAAGTGAAACTATCTAACAATTACTGAGGACTTTCTATGTGCCCATCACTGTTCTAAAGACTTAACATACATGAGTTTGCTTTAATTCCTACATCAATGACTCTGTAATCCCCATTTTGCAGTAAGGCATGCACAAGGAGGTTAAGTAATTTCCCCAAGATTACAAGTTAGCAAGGATAAAGCCAGGATTCAAACCCAGAAAGGCTAATGCCAAACCCTGTGCTCGTCACCACTTAACTTTATTGTGTTATGTTTTAAAAAAAAAAATGCCTTCAGGTACTAAAATCAAGCAGAGAAGACATATATACATAAATCACTCCAAAAACAAGAAATATGGAAATACACACTATAATGGAGGCACAGGAGCAGTAGGAAAATGACAGAACGGGTGAGACACAGATCCAAGAAGACCTCTGGGAGAGAAGAGATTTCGGCTGAGCCATACGGAGGGGACCAGATACTGGCGGGTGCACTCATTCCCTGTGGAGGGACCAGGCTGAACGACAGCCTCGATGAGGAAGGCATGACACGTGCTTGTGACCTGTGAAACTCTAGGCGGTCCCCTCGAGTGGCTGTGGCACGGGTACACAGTGGGAGGGAAGAGGAAAGGCGGGGAATAGCTGGGCTAGAACATGAGGCAGGAAGCCAAGCACGGGAGGCTGTGACGTGAGGCTGATGAAAGGGACCTTTCCTGGACACATCTGGCCAAAGACCTGGTACAGGCCAACTGTCTGGATCTAAATGATTTTAAGGTTGAAGTCACTACACCTCTGTTATATGTTTGATATTATGATAGGAGAACCAATCTGAATCACACTTTATCGCCAGAGGGTACTATTTTAAAAACTGACTTTCAGCAAATGCTTTTTATGATATCAAAATATTATGTAACAAGTGAATATGTATTCCATGTATGCCTTATTCAACGTAACTTATCAATACAAACCTTGAACCAAAAAGGCTTACCTGTCCACTGTCCATCTCTTGAAGATGCCGAATAGATGCATTTTTCAACAGAGAAATAACTCTCCAAATGGGGTTACCTCTTTTCCACCCAACCTTCAAATGGAGATTTATAAGCTCAGTTAACACCGTCAGGTACAAATGGCAGCGGTCCAGATCTGAAATCTGAGACAAACATTAACACACTTCAGGGCACAAGCAAGGTCCACGATTTTCACAAAACTACGAGCATTCGGGCGGGAAATAAGTTTGTTTAAAAGTACTAAAAGAAGAGACTCATGACAGAAAAAGCCATTTTCTCCAAGCAGCCTTCCATAATCTCCCCATGTAGAGCTAAGGACCTCCTTCTCTGTGCTTACACAGTGATTTGGAATTTGGCACAATTATCGCACCTTTCACAATTGTGTCATCAGTCTCCCCCCTAGATTATGAGATCTTGGGTGGCAGAAATTATGTTCTCCCAATTCTCATATGCCAGGGCTAGCACATCACAAATAATAACCACCACCATTACAGCAATTGCCACTTCCTTTGTTTAAAAAAAATCAGTCATCACAGAGATCACTGTCCCACTTTCACAAGACTAAGTTTCAGAGAGGTTGAACAACTTACCCAATCCCTAGAGCTAGTAAGGGGGGGGGGGACAGCATTAAATACAGGCCTTTTTGACTTGTAAACCCAAGTAGAACTGAGTGCAGTCCAGCTCTACCATTCACTAGCTCTGTGACACTGTGCAAGGTACTTAACCTCTTTAGGCCTCAGATTCCTTATCCACAAAATGGAGATAGTAACATCTACCCAACCCAGGGCTTCTCAAAGAATCAAGTGAGAGAAAGTATGATAAATGGACTGGCACACTAAGTGGCGGTGTTAATTATTATTACTATAACAATTACTATGCCAATATATTATTACTATACCATTGGAGGCCTCCTCTGGCACACAGAAAGGAATCCATTAATTCAATCAGTTTTTACCAAGCATCCACTCTATGCCAGGTACCTTGCCAGGTGCTAGGACACAATGCGGATGGAGGGTAACAATTACAAGAGCTGGTGATGGATGAAACAGAGGTGTGAGTGTGACGGATAAAGGTGCCAGGGAGGATTTCCAAGTTTCTGGCTTGAGGAAGTGGCTGGATGGTGGCACTTCCACTGAGAAGGGAACCTGGAGAACCTCCAGCAGGACTAATGACGGGGCTTCAGCTGTGAATTACATGAGTGTGAGAAATCCAACTCAAGTCATCACAGAGAAATTGACAGAGGGTGTTAAGCTCAGAAGGGTGATCTGAGGTGCAGACGGAGATTTGAGGGTCCCTAAATAAACTGAAGCTGGGGATGTGGATGAAATCATCAGGAGACAGAGAAGAGAATGAGAAAAGAAGGGGCCAGGGGGAAAACTTTAAAGAGCTCCAACTTCAAAGGCTAGAGAGCAGAGAATGGACATTCAAAGAAGAAATGGAACTAACGACCAGAGGGGGAGACAAGAGAGGATGACGTCACAGGAGCTAAAGATGCTTTGAGGTGGTCCCACGGGACCAAGGAATCAAGAAAAATACATTTGGAAAGTATCCGTGAGGTTTATGATGAAGGTGTCACTGACAACTGTAACGTTACAACAATGATAAAAGCCAGATTAGAATGGAATTGAGGTGTCTGCTTAAAGAGAAGGAAATAGGGTGCTAGAAGGGAACATGACATTGAGAGAGGGTTCTTTCAAAATGAGGGACCCTTAGATTTGTTTAAGTGCTTATGAAAAGAGTTCAGGAGAAAAGGAGAGGCTGAAAACACAAGAAAGATGGAAGGCGATCAAGAGTGTAAACTCCCGAAGAAAATGGAAGAGGACGCAATGCCCTACTCTACTGCAAATACAAAGGGCAGACAGGGAGGATGTGGGTGAGAGCACAGGGTGAGCCCGCACTCCGGACAACTTGAAACTGAGGGCTCTCCAGTCTGATGGCCACTATTTCCCCTGTGAATCAAGAGGAGCCAGCCCACCCTGCAAAGACAGTGGCTCACATCTCTTTCCAATTCAGAGGCCTCATGTTGGCAGCCATGGAGATTGGTAAACACTACAGATGAAGGCTTTCTTCCCCCCCTGGATAGCCAGTCTTAACATTGACCAGCACACTGCCGATGTTAGGGAAAGTGTGGGAAGAGGTTTTTTATTAAACTCTAAGCTACCAAACACATGTACTTAATTGGAAATTCTAATACCTAATTTATTTATTAAATTTATTTATTTATTTTAGGCTAGTCAAGGGAAGCAGTGGGAGTGGAAAAGGAACAAAGGAATCTGTAACTGGTTGTGATCAATTAGTTGTAAACACCACTGCCCTTGGACCAGCCAAATACCTTATTTATTTACTGAGACAGAGCCTGCTCAAAGCAACCTCAAACTCCTGGGCTCAAGTGATCCTCCTGTAGCCTCCTGGAAGTACTGAGACTACAGGCACGGGCCATGAACACCCAGCTATTTTCTATTTTTGTGGAGATGGGGTCTTCACTCTTGCTCAGGCTGGTCTCCGAACTCTGTGCTCAAGCAATCTCCTGCCCAGTTCCCGGAGTGCTAGGATACAGGCATGAGCCACCATGCCTGGCCAAATACTAATTATTAAAGATGATTTCCAAAAATTAAAACAAAATATGAATTCGTTAAATCTTTTGCACTAAAACGATAAAATAACAGTAAGCTTTCCTTTCTTATGCTATTTAGCTTCAAAATCCAAAACAAAAACATGTTATATAATGGGTACATGGAAGGATCATTACTATCTTTGTAATCTTTTGAAAAATTTCCCATAATAAAAGAAAAATACTCTAGGATAATAAAGTGGTATTAGAGCAAAACTTAAAAACAAGTCACTTCCTTAATTCTCTGTGAAATTCAGGTGCAGTTGATTATTAACTGCTGATAAGTTGAAAGCAAAGTTTCTCTTATATCCTTACCTTTTATCATAAAATCTCAAGTCTTTCAGATATAAACTTGTCCTTTTACATTTTCACACTGCTTAAGCTATCAAACAATGTTCAAGTATCAAGTAAATTCTTAAAGTAGAATTTTTTCTCACTTTATTATAGCTTAAGCATTCAAACTGATTGCTACATCATCTTTCCTAGAGATTTCAAACAAAAGAATACAGACATTTAAGAACTATGCTTTCAAAGAATCTTGAACAGGAAAAACTTTTAATTTTTTAGAGTCATAAAGAATAATATGTGTAATGTAGAGATAGAGACCACAGCTACATTCACAAGAGCATCTCATACCTAAAACTATTGCATTTAAGATCACTGAAGGAGCTTTAACACCATACGCATACACACATCCCCCAGCCCTAGGACCCATCTAAACCTGCCACATAATCTCTGAATCGGAGCCCAATATGCACTGAATGGCAAAGTACTTCAAATATTTACATTGAAACTCCTCCAACCCTGGGATGGTATTATCTCCATTTTGCCGATGAGGAAACTGAGACTCAGAAGATCTACATAACTTGCTCAAAGGTCTGTTAATATACAGATGGAAGCCGGGCACCGTGGGTCACATCTGTAATCTACAACTTTGGAAAGCTGAGGCAGGAACATCACTGAGGCCAGGAGTCCAACACCAGCCTGAGCAATGAGAACTGGTCTACAAGAACACAAAATTTGCCAGTTGTGTGGCGAGCACCTGATCCCAGCACTGGAGGCTGAAGCAGAGTTGTACTGAGTCCAGGAGTTTGAGGTTGCAGTGAACTATGAGGCATCACTGCACTTAGTCAGAACAAATAGAGGGAGACCCTGTCACAAACACCAAAAACAAAAAAACACAAATCAAAAAACAGGTAGAATTGTCAGTAGGAGACTCCATAGTCTGTTTTTTTTTTTTTCCTGCTTCCTAAGCGCTTCTTGAAAAATTCATTTTGCTTTTTAACTTAATACAGTGACTGCCAGTCAGTAATCATCAAATATGGTGAAAAATGAAAGAAATGAAAAAAAAAGGTACTCCATAAAACTTACACTACTTAGCTCATTCATAGTGAATCTCCTGAGAATAAATCAGAAACCATCTCGTATAGACATGACAAAGTTCGAAGACAGTAAACACTCATCTGTGTGGGGAAAAAAGTGGCAACAAAACATAGAAATAAATGCTTTGGTACAAAACACACCAGATTATTCTATGAAAAGTACAACTGAGTAGCACATGGGTGAATCACTTGCCCCAAGTGAATCCCAATAATATAATAATGATCACACCATGGAGAATGGTAATCTTAAAATCACTAGGAGTGCCAGTTCTGGTAGGATCTGTCACTGACAACAGCTATAAAACGTGGAGAGAATGCACAGGGCAGCTATTTGAAGACTCTGAAAGGTAAAAGTTATAGCAGGTGGTTCAGAAAGAAGCAACACTGAAACAGTGGCGAGTTTACTAATCTGCTCCTCTAGTCCTCTTACCAATCAGAACCAGGTGCAGGGCAGTCGCAGAGTGGACAACAAAATCTGCCTGGGTTCTGTGAGGAGAACGAAAAGATGAGCCCAGGAGACAGACAGTGAGCACGAGAGGAGACTCAAGAGAGAAGGATCGCCAGGAAAGCAGCCTCAGAAAGCTGTTATAGATACCCCGGCCTACCCCTGAGCTGCACACACATGGATCCAATGCTAAACTGTGATCACAGACTTTTAGAACGAACTAACAGAGAGCACTGCCAGGTGCCAGCATGCCACTGGATGAAACACAGTGCATAGGTTAACAGACTGCTAAGAGAATCTGGAAAAAGATCTGACGGTGGACAACACTCATAGAAGCTGGGTCAGAATGAGGCCTGAACCCAAACAGGTTGACCCGGTGAACGAATACCTAACGTTCTCCCACAGGCTAAACAAAGATCAAAAGCTCATACCATAATATAAAATAGCTAGGATATAATCCAAAATTACTGGCACATGAAAACCAGAAAAACCAGCTCACATGAAAAGCAACTACAGAGTACACACTGATAACATGGATGTTAGAATAATTTGAAAACATTTAACATTATAAAATGCTTCAACAAGCAATCAGGAACCTTTGAACAAGTGGAAAAACAGAAGTTCAGCAAAGAAACAAAATATACAGAAAGCCAATAAAATTTATAATGAGAAGTATAATAATGAAACACAAATTAACTGGAGATTAATCACAGAAAGGAGATGCAAGAGGAGAGTCAGTGAATTTAAGAATAGCGCAATAAAAATATGCAATCTGAACAAGAGAGAGAAAAACGATTGAAAAAAAATCAGCAGAGCCTTGGAGACCTGTAGGATAATAACAAAGATCAAATTTTTATGCTACCAGAGTCCCAGAAAAAGAAAACAGTGGCGCTAAAAAAAAAAATATTTGAATCAACAAATGGCTAAAAATTTTCCAAATCTGGTATTAAAGGGTACAAACCTACAGATTCAAGAAGTTCAGGAAACCCCCAAAAGAATAAGCTCAAAGAAATTCACAGCCAGACACAGGATAACCAAACTGCTAAAAACTAAAGATGAAGAAACAGTCCTGAAAGCAGAGAAAAATGATACACTACCAGGGGAAGAGCAATCTGAATTAACTAAGTCTCATGAGAACCACATAAGCCAGTGGCAAGTGGAACAACATTTTCAAATTGCTGGATTTCATATCAAGCAAAAACATCCTTCAGAAATGGAGGGTGAAATAAAGGTATTCTCAGATGGAGAAAAACTGAGAGAATTCATTGCCAACAAATGTGTTCCAAAAGAAATGCTAAAAGGAGTTTTACGAACAAAGGGATATGATGCCATAGAGAAATCTGGCACATCAGGAATGAAGGAAGAACAAAAGAATCCCATAAACATCTAGGTATATATAGGCTCTTTATAGAAAAATTGGCTTTCTTCTCATGAATTCTTAAAAATTCGTTTGATGGCTGAAAGCAAATAACACCAACAGTTTTCTACAAATAAAAATGTAAGACAACTATAATAGCTGGAGGAGGGGAGTAAAGGGACCTATAGGGTGGAAAGTTTCTATATTCACTTCACGTGGTAAAATATGACTTCTAAACATACTACAGAAAGTTAAGTATGTACATTGTAATCGTAAAGCAACCACTAAAAAAAAAAAACCCACTTTGGACATGAGTCCAAACAAAACACAACAGAAAAGCTGAAAAATACTAAATAATGTTTAAGCTGCCTACGAGAAGCCAAAAGAGAGGAAAGAAATGAAAAACAGAGGTAATAAACATAATACCAAAGATAAAATGACAGACCTAAATCCAAACATATGATTAAATACAAATGATCTATACCAGTGAAAAGACAGAGACTGTCAGAATGGATAAAAAAAAAAAAAAAAAAAAAACACAGCCCAAATATATGTATGTCTATATGAAATTCACTTCAAATGTAATGATCTAAATAGAATAAAAGGCCAGAAAAAGATACACCATGCAAATTCTAATCAAAAGAAAACAAAAGTAGTTATATTACTATCAGACAAATCAGATTTCAGAGCAAAGAAAATTACCAGACATAAAAATGGACATTACATAATGATAAGAGAGTCAACTTACCAACAACATTAAATCCTAAATGCATATGCACCTAACAATAGAACTTCCAAATATATAAAGCAGAACTGACAAATAAAAGGAGAAAGAAAGAGATAAATCCAAAACTATAGTTGGAGCCTATTCCTCTCTTGGTAACAGGAGGAGTAAACAGGCTGGGCACAGTGGCTTATTCCTACAGTCCTAGCATTTTGGGAGGCTGAGGCAGGAGGATCACTTGAGCCCAGGAGTTTGAGGCTGCAGTGAGCTATGAGCATGCCACTGCACTCCAGTCTGGGTGACAGAGCAAGATCCTTTCTCTTAAAAAAAAAAAAAAAAAGGAAACTCTTAGAGTAATTGACATTTAACATTTATAGAACACTCACTAGCAGAATACACATTCTTTTCTAGTATACATGGAACAGTCACCAAGATAGACCATAAAAAGTATGCTCTGACCACAATGGAATTAAACTGAAAAGCAGTAAGAGAAAGGTAACAGGAAAAGTCTCTAAAGATGTTTCCGAGATGATACAGATTAGCAAATAACAAGACATGCCAGTGCCAGCATGCCACTGGATGAAAACACGTGCATAGGTCTCACAGCACTGCTAAAAGAAATTCGGAAAAAGATCTGACGGTGGAACCACACTCATAGAAGCTGGTTCAGAATGAGGCCTGACACAACAGGTTGACCGTCGGTGACGCAATACACAACGTTCTCCACAGGCTTAAAAGATCAAAAGACTATACATAAATATCCAAAATAGCTAGATATAATCCAAAATTACTGGACATGAATAACCAGAAAACCAGCTCACATGAAAAGGCAACTACAGACGTACCACCACTGAGATAACATGATGTTAGAATAATTTGACAAACATTTAAAGCAGCTATTATAAAATGCTTCAACAAGCAATCAAGACCACTTTGAAGCAAGTGGAAAAAACAGGAAGTCTCAGCAAAGAAACAAAATATACAGAAAAGCCAAATAGAAATTTTATAATTGAGAAGTATAATAACTGAAACACCAAAATTAACTGGATGGGATTAATCACAGAAAGGAGATGCAAGAGGAGAGTCAGTGAATTTAAGAATAGCGCAATAAAAATATGCAATCTGAACAAGAGAGAGAAAAACGATTGAAAAAAAATCAGCAGAGCCTTGGAGACCTGTAGGATAATAACAAAGATCAAATTTTTATGCTACCAGAGTCCCAGAAAAAGAAAACAGTGGCGCTAAAAAAAAAAAATATTTGAATCAACAAATGGCTAAAAATTTTCCAAATCTGGTATTAAAGGGTACAAACCTACAGATTCAAGAAGTTCAGGAAACCCAAAAGAAAGCTCAAAGAAATTCACAGCCAACACAGGATAACCAAACTGCTAAAAACTAAAGATGAAGAAACAGTCCTGAAAGCAGAGAAAAATGATACACTACCAGGGGAAGAGCAATCTGAATTACTACTAAGTTCTCATGAGAAGCCACATAAGCCAGTGGCAAGTGGAACAACATTTTCAAATTGCTGGATTTCATATCAAGCAAAAACATCCTTCAGAAATGGAGGGTGAAATAAAGGTATTCTCAGATGGAGAAAAACTGAGAGAATTCATTGCCAACAAATGTGTTCCAAAAGAAATGCTAAAAGGAGTTTTACGAACAAAGGGATATGATGCCATAGAGAAATCTGGCACATCAGGAATGAAGGAAGAACAAAATATAACATCTAGGTATATATAGGCTCTTATAGAAAATGGCTTTCTTCTCATGAATTCTTAAAAATTCGTTTGATGGCTGAAAGCAAAAATTATAACACCAACAGTTTTCTACAAATAAAAATGTAAACAACTATAATAGCTGGAGGAGGAGTAAAGGACCTATAGGGTGGAAGTTTCTATATTCATTCACGTGGTAAAATATGACTTCTAAACATACTACACGAAAGTTAAGTATGTACATTGTAATCGTAAAGCAACCACTAAAAAAAAAAAACCCACTTTGGACATGAGTCCAAACAACACAACAGAAAAGCTGAAAATACTAAATAATGTTTAAGCTGCCCACGAGAAGCCAAAGAGGAAAGAAATGAAAAACAGAGGTAATAACATAATACCAAAGATAAAATGACAGACCTAAATCCAACATATGATGAAATACAAATGATCTATCACAGTGAAAAGACAGAGACTGTCAGAATGGATAAAAAAAAAAATCACAGCCCAAATATATGCTGTCTATATGAAATTCACTTAAATGTAATGATCTAAATAGAATAAAGGCCAGAAAAAGATACACCATGCAATTCTAATCAAAAAAAACAAAAGTAGTTAATTACTATCAGACAAATCAGATTTCAGAGCAAAGC